AACAACTCCAGTCTGGCTCTGGAGTAGGGACAAGTAAAAAGCCTTTTAAAGGGAACACACGAGATTGTGATTTAAAAAAAACAGTTCTGCCTTCAAAGTGTAACAAGTTCTCACCTGAGGCATTGTGATGCCAAAAACGCCTTGCGCTTGTACCCCCGTTGCAGGTTCAAAATAACGTTGGGGTGGGTTGGACCCTACATAAGTCATCTATGTTTTTTAGTCCAACCCCCTTTTTTCCTTTTTATTAAAACTCATTTTGGCCGAGGGCTGGAAAAGCCTGACGCTGGGCAAGTTCCAGAACGTGAGCCTCCACGCAGGGCACATGGACTGTTTGGCGCCACGGCCGGATGGCAAGTGCGAGCTCTTCGAGAAGCTCACGCAGGATCTGAAGCAGTATCTGCCGTAAGGTCAGAATCTGTTTCCAGATGTGGAAAATGAGAGGGACAACATATTCATAGATTTGGTGCGATGAAGGAACAAATCACGTCTCAATGACATTTGATGGTCATATAAAGATCGAAATTGACATTTGGAAACACATTTATCGATAAAGATAATAATTGTGTTGTTTGGCACCAAATTCATTTAATATGTAGTTTGTTTCCTTGTATTTAGATATTGGTGCATGTATTTATATAAAGATTTATTATGGATAATTTGTGTGTTTGTTGTTTTATGTATATTTGTTGGTGTTTGTGTTTTCTCTTTTGTTGTTTTGTTTAGTTGGATTTATTCTATGAGTAGGTTTTATATGTTTATGTTTATGTTTATTTATCAAGATGTATGTTTGTTTGATTGTTGTCTGGATTGTTCTCTTTACTTGTGTTGTTTGGTGTGTGTGTTTTGTTTTAAGACATATTTATGTTCATCTTAGTGTCTGCTTTTGATGTTTATTTGTGTTTGGCTTATTTTTGTTATATATATATATATTATGTATCTTTATTTTAGGTAGTTGAAAACATGATAGGGGTGTTAATCTCTATTAACGAGATTGCATCAACCCGCTCCAAAAACGGGGCCTAAACCAAGAAGAAAAACAACATACCGAGAATCTCGATCCAACAAACACAAATTCCTCGTATCGTAAAGAATAAAACCTACAAAATTCATGCTAAGTAAAGCAACTAGAAGGCGAAAACAGTATATTAGAAGGTATCGAAGAAAGAATCGAAAACTATAAATAGACAAAAACGAGGTATTTTTGTACACCTCCAAAATTACCTGTATGTATGGTCACATGCCGCCTCCCGATACCTCTTGCATGCCAGGTAAAGGCTTCTCTACGGATGTTCCAAGAGGCAGAGCATGTTTTTCATCCACCATACGAAGGGATTAAAGGAGCCATTTCTCAGTACCCAATCTGTAATTTCCCAAACCAGGGGCTTGTAATTGTTTTGAACGACGGATCGACTCCGTAAATCATCATGAATGCATTTATGCTCGGCATGGCGTGCGACCGCAAGCGATTCCTATGCACCTCCAAAATACACGATTAGAAAGAAGAAATAACCGCTATATCAAGGACCAACCACGAAAAACGACACCAAGAAGTGCCAAGAAGATTGAAGGATTTGAGGGATTCCCATCACAAGAATATCAGGTGTAATACGAGGGTCTGCAAATAAAGACTCGCAGGCTGAATGAGGGTCGTCCTCCAGCCTGCAAGCCAAAGAGAAAATACAGCATTCTTCAAAATGGTGTGGGTGTCCTATTTGTGCCCATATCCCATATAATGGAAAATATGTCGGCCGAAAGCATCCAGATTCTGGTGGCAAAAAGAAGAAACATCACCCTGCCCGCATAAAAACAATATCCGGAAATGTAGCGTTGGTGAGCAACAAATCCTGAGCTAGAGTGGGGCGTGCCTTAAGCCAACCATCTGCTCCTAAAACAGCAAAAGTGCGCAACCGTGCTTGTCCGGATAGCATCGGCTTACTCCATCAAAAAGCAAGTCACCTTAGAATGAATAATTGCCAACAAAATCGCTTATTATATCTCCACTCTCGGATCCTAAAAACCAGGAGCGTCACGAGGCAAGAAACGCAAAACTCGCTGAAGGGCCTGAGCCTCGTTCCCAATATCAATTTGAAACGGGAAAAGCGAGATGAAGATCCAAAATGGTTTGCAAATACTTGGCGTACGACCATTGGGTTCGAGTCAAAATGGTTCTAAGAGATAATTCTAAACATCGCTTCATCCGATCATGAAAGAGATCCAAACATGGTCCAATCAAGGATCTAGGAATGGTGCGGCACAAGCATTGCATCTTGTGGAAAATAGCACTGCTCTGCGTAAGATGGAAAGCAGCATGTTTATGCGGCAAGCTTTCAATCGCAGAGAAGCCTCTCAATTTCCTAATTATTCTGTTCATAGAAAGAAATTAAAAAAATCCGTTGACCCCAGGCGCTTTAAGCATGATCATGTTATGACGAATATCGCAGTAATTTCCAACGCATGGAAACGCGAAACATTTCCGCGGAATTGTTCCTTCGCAAGAGGGCACAAATTGCATTGTGCGGTTGGACGTGAAGCCGCATTCCTAAGCCCAGCGTAGCTGTTGTTGAAAAGCAGCCTAAACATCTTGAACCTCCCCTCCCATAAACTCATCGTCCGCAAAAGCCGGCGCAAATTCCGGTCGGGGCCTGCCGCTAACGGCAAATACGGCGGTTTGTATTCGATGACGAGTAAGACAAAACAAAGGGCTCATGATGGGGTAGTCTTGTTGCCCTCGTGAACATTGTTCTAATTGCCCTTGGCAAGCCAAACAAGATGAGTTCCGTAACAATAAGAAGCACATGGAGCAGAGGAAGGAGTATGGCCACGGACATCCTTCAAGAATTGGGCAGAATTTTTTTAAAAGCATTGCCTCAGTACCAAATGCTACTAAACTCCGGGACGGCCCATAGCCAAAGTGCATTTAAACACCATTCCGCCAAGTAAGCCCCATAACGATCGGGCGAACATCCTCATCCAAAGGAATAGGTTCTCTCCGGGTGTCGATTTTCCCGACTCCAATTAATTAGTCTCTGCCAATCCAAGGGCGTAAATCTCATCCGAGCCGGAACCCAAAAGGGCTCTCAGGAAATCAACTCTTAACCCGTCCGGTCCCGGACCGACGCCTACGGCAAAAGAGCGGATCTGCCGGATCAAATTGTCGGTGGTTGTAAGCTTAGAAAGCGGCATTTCCACCTAAGAATATCGCCCGAACCTCCGGACTATTATAAACCAATCCTAATAAAAGAAGCCGCTGAAGAGCTTGGGAAGGTCGTCCTAAAGAAAATAAGCGCTCAGTCTCCAAAGCTTTGCAGTCTAGCTCGGGGTGACCGTTACGTCGTTGAGATTTAAACACAGACGACTTGGAATGCTTGTGTTACACTCTGTTCAGCCTCGTACCACAACCCTAACCGCTCTCCCATCTTCCAACCCAAAAAGAGGCTCTGGGTGAAGTAATGCGCTTGTTGGGGCCGCTGCCCGCGGTGAAATTAACACAGCGCACACTTAGGAAAAAACAAAAGAATTCGATCCAAATTCGCCTCGCGGCTTGCATAACCTCAGCGTCGGGCGCCCCCCGTCCGCCCTCCACAGGAGGAAGATGATCCCAAGCATCAGCTCGTTGTTTTTGAAGAATAGCATCCACCAATTTGCCACACTCTTCTCGCGCTAAAGGAAGGAGAGCGAGAGGAACATGTTCTTTAATACGGACCGGATTGCAAAAAATGTCATTCAAAATAAGCAATTCTTCAGAAGACCTCGGGGGCCCGTTGGGAACAAGGAGAACACTAGGATGATCGTATAGCATTGTTCCAAGAGAACTATAAGCTCCCCAACACCTAGGATGTATACTAGGATGATCGTATAGCATTGTTCCTACCTCCCAAGAGAACAATAAGCTCCCCAACACCTAGGATGTATACCCCCCGTAACCCAAACGCCGACCGAAAGTCCGTAAACACGACAACACGTGGAACACACATGTGTTCACTTGGAATACAATGAAACGCGTGTCCAATTCAGACACATATGTGTGCACACGTGGAACACACGTGTGTTCACCTGAACCACAAGCACGGGCAAGCAAAGCACACATGTGTGTACATATGGGACACATATACATATATATATATGTATACCACTGGAACACAAATAATATGTGTCCAGGAACACCGCGTGTGCGATTAAAGCGCACATGTGTGCACACGTGGAACACACAACTGTGCACGCGTGAGCAAACATAAATGCTCACCTAAAGCGCATACGCACACATGTCCGCACATGGAAAACAATCATGCGTTTTCTGGAGCACATACATGTGCACACCTGGAGAGCAAGTATGTCGTCAGACGCAAAAAATGTTCACCGAGCACATAGGAAATGTGTTCACGTGGAACACACATCTGTCCACCTGGAACACAAACACGTGTCCAAGTGGCACGCACATGTGCGTACACGTGGAATACACATGTGTACACATGAACACACATATGCGCACACGTGAACACTCACATAAATGTGCGCGTTCTCATCCGATAATAACCGTGTGTTTCCTTGGAACGCAAACACGTGTCCAGTTGGAACACACGGAACACACATGTGTGCACACGTGGAACACACAGAAGTGTTCATCTGAAAACAAACATGTGTTCACGTGGAACACACATACATCTGATAAGAACACACATGTATACACATAAATACACATATATGTGAACAACATGAATACATATATATATATATGGGTACACGTGGGACATATATGTGCACACATGAATACACACATTTGCACAAGGGAATACACACATGTATATTGCACACATGAATACACACATTTATGTGGACGCAGAAACCCAGACATACACGAGCATTCATTTGACAAATACGTGTTAACACAAACACGCGTCTTGTTGGAACACAGAAGTGTGTATACGTGAACACACGTCTGTGTACCAGTGGGACGCATATATATGTTCATATGAATAAATAAATATGCATATGCACCCGGAATACACACTCATATACGTTCATCTGATAATAAACATGTACTCACTTGAAACATAAATACATGTCCAATTGGAACATACATGTATGTATATATGGACAATGGAACACACAGATATATACAAACGAATACACATATATGTGCACGCGAAGCAGACCCATACACACACACATACGTTCATCTGATAACATACATATGTTCTCCTGGAATACAAACATATGTTTAGTTGGAACGTATATGTATGCACATATGAACACATAAATGTATATACATGGAGCACACATATATATACATATATTTGTGTATGCGGGGCAGACGGGCGTAGACACGTATTCATTTGATAATAAACATGTGTTTTCTTGGAACACTTAAACATGTTTAATTGGAACGAATATGTATACATATATAAACACAGATATATATATATATACATGATATATATATATATATATTTATGTATTTATGTTTTTATATTGTATGCAC